AATCGATACGGAACATGAATGATATTTTATTATCTTAATTATAAGAAATTTTAAATATTGTGATCAGACGGATTAAAATAAATAATTGTTATAATATTCACAATATGACGCAATTACACTATCTTATGAAGTTGATAAAACGAACTCCATAATAGCTGAACAAATGTCGTTCATTTTAACTTAAAGTTTTAAAGCATCAGATGTTTATAATTCTGTAATTGTGTGTTTTAATCAGGCGTGGCGGATTAAAAGGTGACATTGATGATGGTCTCAAATAGGTCGAAATGCGTTTGGCGGCGTAATTTTACTATTAATGTGGGTAAAATTTGGTGGTACCAGAAAGGAATATACACATTTGAACTACACGACATGTGAAGTGATAGGACCATAGATTTGTGTGTAAGAGTCGGGGAAGATGTGAGATTCTAAACTGAGGTATTGGAAACACTTTATGGACTTAATCTGCTCGGATCATGCGTGTGTGTGTGTGTATCACTCCGCTGTGTTTGAACGTTGCGACGTTTTCGAAGGAACTATTAGCTATTACTGTACCTAACCGCGAAAGTGACTTGATGTTTTTGTCGTATGAAATGGACGTGAACTGCGTTTGTAGTAGCACTCTGAGGTCAACGGTCTCCCGTTGACTTCTTCACACGCCGACCAAATAATATTGCATCATAAAAGCTATGCAGCCCGCGTTCCATTATGGAACTCACTGTCGAGGGTTTGCGTACTTTACGAAGCTGTGACCTGCTTACTCGACATGTTACAGGCTGGTTCTTTACTTTTTTTGTTTCTTTGATGTGGAAACGCAGATCGAAGGCGTTTGAAAACGAAGCTGAGGAGAAGTTTTGGACAGGAGGTGGGGGAGGAACTTAGATGAGGGCTGTAATTGGTAATCATTTTGTATTTAAACTTGAAGGGAGGAGACTACTTGCAATACGTAATCGTGGATGGGAGGATAATATTAAAATGGGTTTTGAAGCAATTCGATGGGATGAATTAACTTTTTCTTGGGCCGGGAACACTGTAGAGAACTTCCGACTTCCGTAAGAGGCGAATTTATTTGTGAGGCGACCGATTCTTAGGTTCTCGGGCGTTAATGGTGGACCCGAAAACTAGGTCGAGTTGTGGGTCATCTGATGTAGTTTAATTCTGTGAAATCTGGGGTTCTGTCAGCTGTGAAGAATGTCGACTGTGGTGTTCTGTGTTATCTTGTGTGTGTGTGTCGTGCGTTGGTTACCAGTGTTTCGGAGGAACGTACCACCTTCATCGCCACCTCGAAAATTATGTTCTCTGTGAACACGTTTCAGTACTGTGATGAGTATGTATACTCATTACAGCTCAGCCATGTCTGATTTAATGTTTAATAACTTGGGTGCATTTGCAACTTTCGTCCTCGCACTAAAAGCGTCCATGTCCTGAAATGTCGCAGATCGGCTGTGATTTTTCGTGTTTACTTGATGGACGGATACGAATTCTTAAAGGTTATTTTGGCGAGCTTCGCTCCTTGAAAGTTTTTAGGATTAATATCAAGAGGCGTATGTATTTAACATAAAGGGAATAAATAACTGGGGTTCGTTCGGTTTCTAGAATACTTTTTCCGACAACCTGTAACTGACTGAAAGGTGGTTTAGAAATTAACTTGTATTTTCTTGGGCGTAGAAAAATTGGTGTGTTTTTGAACAGCGTCTCATAGAATGTGGTAGCCTACTGCAATAAAACTTGCAGCATTTTTATGTTTTGATGTTGGTATCATGCTCGTCCTCTTGCCGACGTTGAACGGAAGAAGGTTTTGAGATGTTGAGGTCTTTATGTTGCAGATAGTTCGCTGGCAGCCGGCAAGATTTCCTCGCCGTGGACTCCCGCCAGCTCCGGGCCGCCGGCCGATACCAATGGCTCCGGCTCGGATTCCAAAAACCTCGACGTCGGGGACGAGGTAAGCGACGAGGTAACGTGTGAACAACTTATTATTATTATAATTATTATTATATCTATTCACCACTTTATAGGGCATGTACCCGAGACAAACCTTGCCCTGAGGTACATAGAGCAGCAGCTATTTCCGAAATACATTTGTTTTTAATACGTGTTACATGTATCATACAGTTTTATTGTGAGGAATGACTACATATCTTTCGAATGATGCATGAAGATCCTAAAATGGAAGTTTTCTGAAGTTCCCTGATGTCGTGTTCGCCCGGAATGTTGGTCAAATATTTTCTGAGTGACCTGGAGACAGTTCCAGTTGCTCCTATAATTATTGGCATTACTTTCACTTTCCACATTCTCTGTATTTCAATGAGAAGGTCCATCTATTTCAAGATCTTCTCGACTTCCTTCTTAATTACATTTCTGTCGGTCGGTATTGCTATATCAGTTAAGAGACAAGTCCCATTTTTGTTTCGGATTGTATCTTTATTATAATTGTAATTAGTGTATTATTTATTTAATGATATTGTTTACTGGCGCCAGTAACTTCAGCGTGTTAGGCCACAGCCAGAATTCTTCGTTGATGGTGTTCAAGTGAGTTCTAACTTCCGTCGATTGCCGAGCCTTTGAATACGTGGAGTTTCACTCAACTCTCCGTTTTTATCGTCGTCATGGCTTGGCAGTTACAGACAGCTCTACCGGTTCCATTACATCTTATTTTATTTACCAGAGTTAGAACACTGTGAGATTGCACAATGATGATCTTGTGGTTTCCTCCGCCACCATCTTTAAGCGATGTAGACTGTTGTTCTTTCTGTATGTGTGGTTTATCCGTTATCCTTTTTACTTTGTACAACCAAGACACAAAATGGTTCCCTATCATCGTCTCATCTTCGAATGTTTAATCTGATTATTTAAAGACGTTGTCAGTATTTTATACTCGGCCTTTTAGTGCAAATAACGAATTGGAAAGGATGTGCATAGAAGTGGTCGTGGCCTGATTTAAAGTGGCATTCCAGTATTTACCTGGAGGGAATGAGGAAAAGTGCAGAAACTTCTGTTGGAAAAGCCGGTATTCGGACCGAGAACTGAACCCGAGATCTCCGCTCGGCTACGACTTTTGGTCGAAATGATTAAAGGTCAGGAGTAAGCCTGCGGGCATGGGGTGTGCATGTTTGTCGGCACTTATGTAGTACCACAGAACAGGAGGGTCGAACACCCCCACAGCCGATTTCTACCAAGATAGAGCTTAATTTTCATGCCGTCCAGGTGGCCTATCTAGTGGTTTCCCCACCAATATTCCACGTGCTTTATTGTGTCCCCATCCCAGCCACATGTCCGGTCCATCGTAGCAACCTCCTTTCATCCCTTTGGGGAAATATTTCTCTCTTTTCTTCAGTCATGTCGACCCGTGTACATAAATATTTTGTCATTTTCTATTTTATTATTTTTTAAAGTATACGAATGGTCACAATTTTTTGTACAGAATTATAAGCATTGTCGGAATTTATTTTCCTCCTAATTTCATCGTGAACGTCATAAAATTTGTTATATTAATGCCCGCAGTGTGCCTCAGCGGTATTTTTCATAGAAAATGTGCAGGTACTTGGCTTTTCACGGAATATGTGAAACTGACTTGTTACTGCGTTGAGCGACTGTCTGCCACCGTGTGTTGAGTCAATGGTTAATTTGACTTACTCATTCTCTCGGCCTGCAATTTTCCCTTCTCCGCCACACCCAGACCGGCTCTGGGGCTCACCCAATCGTCACCAGGGATCTGGGGTGTGAAATTTTTGCGTGAGGATGGATCATAAACATTCATATTACAGTTTCTGCAACGAGATAGTTATTGCGGGCAAATCTAACGCAGTGGGTGGTGACACCTCACTGGTGCGATCATTATCATCAGTAATGAACTATCATGAAAAAAAAATCACATTTCATGAATTTTATGTCAATGCTTGTGGAAATTATGCAAAGCATGAATCACGTACGGCTTGGCCACGCCGTATTGATTGGAATATTTTAAAGAATAATGCGATACGAAGATGTCTGTCTTCTGGGTTGTGGAGCCATGTAGTCTGGTAGAACTTTAACGAAGTTTTAGAGATCCTCGCTGCTTCCATCGTGAGTCATCGCCCTGATGATGGCGGCATCAAGGACCTCCGAAACGTTGGTAAACTTCTACCAGACTACACGGCTCCACAACCCAGAAGACAGACATATTCGGGCTCAACACCGTGGAAACCTCAAGTCCTGTTCAGTGATGTGATACTTTTTCAATACGACGTGTTTTTGTTAACTGACTGTGTAAATCGCTTGCTGGAAATGAGATCGTAATTAAGCATTACCCAACTGCTTATTGCCTACTATATATAGTCTTGCAGGTTGATTTTATATGAGCAGATTTCAGAGAAATTCCATTGTCTTCAGTCTGTGTTCAAAGACGTACTGCGACATTCCTTCCTTGTTGGTATGGCTGGGTTGCCTACGTCATAGGCTGATTGCAATTTATTTGAGAGCGGAAAAACGGGAATACGTAGGATTATGTCCATTTTTGGGCAGACCGAATGAATACTGACGCCTCGTTCTGCAGCACTGGTCTGTTTTACGTTTCCTTTGCACGCATTAAAGCGTTCGTGCTCGATTAATTTTATATTCTGGGCAACAAACTGAGTTCATCGGACAAATTTATTGTTTATCTATGCTAGTCCAATGTAAACAATGGGTACTTTACGCAGATGGAATTGTCTATTGTATAGAAAAAAAGCTCGTCATCAAAACGTTGGCACGTGACTATAATATCTCTCTCTCTCTATATATATATATATATTCAATTCAATTAATTTATATATATAATTAACAGGACACTGAAATTACGTCCGCCCACATGCCTGATTGTAGTTAATTTTGTGGGCTGACAAACAGATATTGACAGTAGCAATTTGTATCAGCGGGCCGCAAGAACGATGCGAGCATGCCAGCGAGAAAGAAACTGCATCTGATATCTTTCACATTTTTTTTTTAGATTTTACCTTACAATGTTCAGTTGGAATGCACAAATATTTCACAATGTTGCGAAGAAAGAAATCCTTTATAGGAAAATACATTTATATTCATTACAATACCAAGTTTAAATCTTTAAATACAAGAAGTTTTATGTTTCCCATGCTTGGCATTCCGTAAACACAATTAATATTTAAAATAAAACATATTTCCTCGTCATCTGAAACTTCTGTTTCGGACATTTTGGATACGGCGAATGGTTAACGAAATGCAACGAGAAATGCTTTACGACTTTGCGTGCGGTGTGTTTGTAGTTTGCCGGTGACTAGTCTGGGTCCTTTAAACCTCATTTAGCAACTCGGGAATTAATTTGTTCCAGGTACTGAGCAAGCTCATTAACCTGCGATTCAAGATTAATGCACATGATGTACCCATTAAAATGGGGTCTGGGTAAAAGACGTTTTGAAAGTGGGAAGTGGATTAAACTGGCTGTGGGCAGGTTCCAGTGACGCGCTTATGTAAATGATTTATGAATCTTTTCGATTTTTTTGGCAAGGACTTGTTCGAACGTCTAATTTGATGCCAACTTTGCGATGAAAACCAAGCACCGCGGAGGTGGTCTCAGTTAGTTAATTAACTGACTAACTAGATGGCTTACCGAACCCGAAGGTCCATCACCGAATTAACCAAAGCCCTCCACCGGACCCTGTCCAGTTTCCTTCAACTCCTATCTCCCATAGATCCCGCCTGAGATTATCCTCCCATCTACGTCTAGGTCTCCCCAGAGGTCTCTTCCCCTCAGGCTTCCCAAATAGTGGACCCAACCAACCAGATGGCTTACGGAACCCGAAGGTTCATCACCGAATTAACCAAAGCCCTCCACCGGACCCTGTCCTGGGCCAACAAAATCCAGTCTCCTTCAAC